TCATGAAAACCTTTTATTGCATTTTCGGCAGTTGCTGACAACTCCCACCTCTGAACACTCTCCCACCTCTGAACACTCTCGCACCTCTGAACACTCTCCCACCTCTGAACACTCTCGCACCTCTGAACACTCTCCCACCTCTGAACACTCTCCCACCTCTGAACACTCTCGCACCTCTGAACACTCTCGCACCTCTGAACCCGCTCGCACCTCTGAACACTCTCCCACCTCTGAACACTCTCGCACCTCTGAACACTCTCGCACCTCTGAACACTCTCGCACCTCTGAACCCGCTCGCACCTCTGAACACTCTCCCACCTCTGAACACTCTCCCACCTCTGAACACTCTCGCACCTCTGAACACTCTCGCACCTCTGAACGCTCTCGCACCTCTGAACACTCTCCCACCTCTGAACACTCTCGCACCTCTGAACACTCTCGCACCTCTGAACACTCTCGCAAAGACTGCTTTCGTAACAGTCTCACCAACATGCTCATCCTGATATTGCCTTACAGACTGACGCCATGTGCGCTTCAATGAGGAAAACAGAGACAGGTCTAAGGGCTGGATAACATGTGATGCATGTGAAGGGAGACAATATAAGATGATGTTATTATCTATTCATGAATTACATGCATCCAAAGTGAGGTGAGTGGAGTGACCATCGACAAAAAGAACCTCTGGCTTTTTGACTGCACAGCGATTGATATGTGGTATGAACACAGTGTGCAGCCAAGAAGCAAACAGCTCAGAGTCCATCCAACCACTCTCACTCCTGCCCAAGACGGCAGATTCAAATCCCTCTAGAGGATTATAATGAAACCTACTCCCGGGATATACTATCATAGGAGTAACGTACGTCCGAGCTGCACTAGCGCAGGCCAGAATCGTTACCTGAGATTTGTCTGAGGATGAGAAATTATACACATTTTGGCATCCTTTCTCTGCAAGAACTTTGCCACTTTTTGGACAAAGGGGAAACCCTGACTCATCAGCATTGAAAATGCGTGATGGTTCGCTTAGTAACTGCACATCTGCATTTTGATTTAAATACTCTGAAAGCGAGTCAAACCACTGGTCATTTTTTTCTTTTGTAACCATGGTCCTTTCCTTTGCCAACTGCATAGGTGTTTTGATCGACAAAGATGGGTTGCGTCTCAGAAAGGCAGAAAACCAGTCTTTTCCTGGTCTGTTATTTTTAAAGGGGTTGGGGCGATCAAAGAGCTGCTCCCTAGTCCGCCCGTACCCAATCTGGGACATCTGGATAGCCCAGAGAAAGTTTCTGCTCCTCCTCATGTGACAGGGGGAGGGTCAACTGGGACCTTGTTCATTAGTTTATCGTGAAGAGTACTCCTTTGGATACCATAACTTGTCGCAGCTTTCCTAACGGAAATCCCTCGGGTATTAATGGCTTCTATCGCCCTTCTCACGTTATCAACGCTGTAGGTTGGTTTATTAGCGTTCCTTCCCCTGTTCATTTTGTTGCAGAACCTAAAATCGTTAGAACATAAATAAGGAATAGTGCAAAAGATTTATGTAAAACATATTATTTTCTTCATATAAGATTATATAATGTTATTATGTTTAATGTTAAATTTTATTTTATTTATAAATTAGTTGGTTTGATGTAAATTTATTTGTTTATTGAAATGGGGATGAGATTGTTATTTCAAATGTGTCAGTTTAAATGTGTCCGAGTACTGCCTTCCCACTGTCATGCACTGAGGCAGTAGCCGGACAGGGCACAAAACGGGCCATTTTTAGAATTTGGCGCCATGGTACTTCGAAGCCGGCTGCATGCATTCACTAGAGTTCTTATGTCAGTTACATTTCATCTAAAACAAGTTGTAAGTAGTACATGATCTTAAAACCGGAAACGGTGTTGCTTAGCGGAAATGTAAGACTATCAGGGGGCGTGGCAGTCAAGTAGGAAGGCAGATATTGGACGCTTTGCACATGGGTGTTACCTCTAGCAGACGATTTTTTGTGACGCAGGGCGGAAGAGGAATATTTATGCGCGTATATGTTGCGCATTAACGCTTAACCTAATTAGCTATAAATATATGTTTAACGAGTGTCCGAGTACTGCCCGTGTCCGGACACTGCCGCTACCGCTCTATATTTTAACAATCTCATGTCCAACGGGAAGTAGTCAGTTGTTATAGTAAAATATTTTCGAGCGAAACTACAATTTTGACGCTTTAGAAACTAATAGTGAAGTAAGCTATGTGTCAGTATGCACCCAGCATGCTAGTCGTTATGTTTCTAGCTTACGTTGTGTTTTGGTGCTTATATGTGTGTGGTATGTACCTCTCAGGTGGAAATAACTTAGCAGTATATTGAGATATGCTTAAAGTATATTCTTGAATAATTCTGTCAAATATTAACCTTGTTTTAACGACGAATATTTGTTTTATGTGCAGGTCTTGCCTCCATGACAACTGGATACCCACACACTGTTACACGTGTTGGCGACGATGTTAACATAACCATGAACCCAGCGAATGTCAGCTTCCCATATTCCGTATGGGTGAATGGTTCGGTAGCTGTGAGACTGTTAGTGGTCATTCCTACGTTACACAGTGTAGTGGTACTCAATACCAGTCACACCGGTTACACGACCAGGATGAGATACACCGGGGAGGACTCACTATCGCAAACAGGACAGCTGAGGTTTACCATCGACAATGTTACTGTACAGGACGCTGGTACTTACTACTGTCAAGGGCAGAATAGACAGACAGTTACTGGATGTAGACAGGTCCTCGTTGTACCACGTGAGTACTGACTGGGGTTAAGAGAACAATATCATGTAAATATATGAATGCACCTAAACTAACATGTAATTCATCAAATATACTGAACCGCAAAAGAAACGCAAGTTTATTTAGAAATGTGAATATTTCTGAATCTGTGGAACAAACAATCTTAACACTACGAAAAAACAACAGACAAGTGATTGTTGAAGAAATGAGTCATGGTCTCTGGTGAAAACAAGAGAGAGAGAGAGAGAGAGAGAGAGAGAGAGAGAGAGAGAGAGAGAGAGAGAGAGAGAGAGAGAGAGAGAGAGAGAGAGAGAGAGAGAGAGAGAGAGAGAGAGAGAGAGAGAGAGAGAGAGAGAGAGAGAGAGAGAGAGAGAGAGAGAGAGAGAGAGAGAGAGAGAGAGAGAGAGAGAGTAGCCGCCAAAGACACCATTTGCAGTTTAAGATTGTAAGCCATGAACCCCACAGTTGACCCAGAGCGCCAGGTAGGATAACTGCAACTAGCATCTGTTAACGTCATTTGTTATGACGTACCGGGTCATCAATCTCCGATCCTGGCAAATACTCACTAGACCAAGCAGGCAGTAGTTATTGTGCTTTTTTTAGACAATCGTGCTTCAACTGCATCTTGGGATGTCTTTTGACGACTGATTTAGCAAAATCCTTGAACAATATTGAAAGGGAATACAATTTAAAAGATTTTCATTGGGTAAGTCAGTAACTTAAAATATGTTAGGGGTTGCTTAATTAGGTTCCATGTGTATATATATAGAACCCTTATGTCCTGAATGATTATTATGATAGTACACTGGTGGTTTGCCTCGAAATTAAAAACACTATTACCAAAAATTTGATGAATACTTTTATCTTCAAAGGTTTTACGCTTTTCAGACGTAACGTCGAAAATAAACGACTACAAAAGTGTCACGTCATTGAAGTTCACATGGATATGCTGTTATGCTTTTAAAATATTATCAAAGACAGGCACTGAACATTTTCTCCCCACAAAGGCGAGGAACACTTGATTCTAGCAATATTAAAACTCAACATGATAATAATTCATGGGAACGTTGTTTTCAGAGCGGAACAGGTTTAAGTAGCATTAGTTTTCCTATGATGATTTCATATACTGATAGCTTCCTGGAATACCAGGTGGAAAAGGTGTATATTTTGAGTATCACATGGTGGCTCAGGTGTTTTGATAACTTGTCTTTCTACAGAGGATTATAGTGACACGTTAATCTAGACAAAACATTCTCTCACTGACTTTTCATTTCCTTCTGAGGTTCCTAGGTAATCCATCATAATCCTCCAAAGACGAGACCACAATACGACCTGAAAGAAGCCTTGAACCGTCACTGAACATGAGACGCCAATGACACATACTGGACGCAATGACGCCATGACTTTTGTTTGACGCTTGCAGGGAACTTGGCGGCGCTCAGCGGACACCGACACAATACATTTCAACCTTCAGTTTATTACTCACCGTTAAAATATAGCTTTGGGGTTGTAAACCCAGCGTCGTTGAGTGATATTGATTTGGACGTAATTATTCAACGTTACTATCATGGCATAAGATGGGTTGGCTGTGGTGATCAGGGTCGAAATTGCCAACTGCTTATAACCTCAACATTGAATTTATTTGGTGTTCTTCAGCTAGGATCATGGACGCCAAATGATCACAGAAGTTACATGTGTTTCCCCTGTGAGATGTTCTGCTGACTGTAACCCTGCCTGTACTGTAACCTGGTGGGACATCTCCAGACAGACGGTGATTACAGGACAGGGGGAGGCTGTGTTGTCTATACCAGCTGTGAGATGTTCTGCTGACTGTAACCCTGCCTGTAAAATTTAAGGTTATATTTGGAAGAGACCTATAATGACTGATTAGATTTTTACTTACTTCAAATTTCTCGAAACACACATAGATTCTGAATAATTATTTATTCAAACTCGTAATATAGCTCAGGAGGTCAACCTTGACTCGATGTGACATCAAGCCAGTGTAATTCTTCACTATCAGATTCTCAAAAAACCCAGGTCTGAACTGAGGAGAACAAAACATTATATATTTACTGTATTATATCATTTATATAATTCGACCAAAAAAAACCAGTTCCAATAAATCCAAATAATTTTGGACACTTGCGACATATCAATGTGATCTTATTCCACATGTTGTATATATCTTGAATCCTAGGAAAGCTTCTATTTTATATAGTGAATGATGCAGCACGTGGGGTAACTGAACCTTCTGCCGTTTCCATCGTACCTGTGGCTGATGTCTGTTCTGTCCTCATTGTCGTCATGGCTTTTGCAATCGTCGTCGTCGTTGTCCACAGACACAGGATCAAGAAAGGTATTGTATTTGTAATGATAGAATCGAATACGAGTTGTGCTGCTATCTCAGACGTATTTCCTGTCAAGCATCTCGTCAATCTGTTACTACAATTACATCAAGTACAGCTGAATACATTCTTAATAATGGCTTTGTACGAGTAGTGATTCAATAATGCTTTATGTATTTCAGGAGGTAAAGTGTACAGGTGAGGGCTCTTCTCGATAGCAGATAACTGTTGACAGTAGATCATTTCAAGAATAGTGAGAAGAACTCAGCATTTATATGCACGTTAAATATTCCTGCATTCCCCTAAAAGGTAAGGTACATGATTACCCCTACAAGCTAAGGTACAGGGTTCTCTCTATAAGGTAAGGTACAGGGTTACCACTACAATCTAAGGTACAGGGTTACCCCTAAAATCCAAGGTACAGGGATGTCCCTACATGTTAAGGTACAGAGTTACCACTACAATCTAAGGTGCAGGGTTGTTCCTACAAGGTAAGGTACAGGGTTACTCTAAACATTAAGGTACAGGGTTACCCCTACAATCTAAGGTATAGGGTTGTCTCTATAAGGTAAGGTACAGGGTTACCTCTACAATCTAAGGTACAGGGTTACCTTACCTTCAAAGGTACAGGGTTATCCCTACAATCTAAGGTACAGGGTTACCCCTAAAAATCTAAGGTACAGGGTTGTCCCTACATGTTAAGGTACAGGGTTATCCCTACAATCTAAGGTGCAGGGTTGTCCCTACAAGGTAAGGTACAGGGTTACCCCTACAAGTTAAGGTACAGAGTTACCCCTACATGTTAGGTACAGGGTTACCCCTACATGTTAAGGTACAGGATTACCCCTACAATTTAAGGTACAGTGTTACCCCTACAATCTAAGGTACAGGGTTACCTTACCTTCAAAGGTACAGGGTGGTCCTTACAATCTAAGGTACAGGGTTACCCCTAAAATCTAAGGTACAGGGTTGTCCCTACAAGTTAAGGTACATGGTTACCCCTACAAAGTAAGGTGTATGGTTACCCTTGCAAGTTAAGGTACAGGTTACCCCTATATGACAGTCGTTCAGGGCTATCTCGAAAACATAAAGATACAGCATTAGCATTGACGTTTGCAGTTTCAAGATGAGCCAATTCCGGTTGTAGGTTTAGCTCTTCACGTTACAGTTACTAAGATAATGTCAGAAATTATTGTTACCGGGTATGCTCGGGTAGTTATTATAATAATATTATCATTGACAGCTAATTAAAGGTTGAAATTTTACTGTTTTATCTTTGCAATCTAATGTATGCCGAGTTATGGTATGGTTGCATAATCCTCCACTTCAGTTCAGAGTTGTGTCTTTCAGGGCTGGTGACCGCAGTATGGCTGACAACGAAGCACAATTTCAACAAGATCCCAGTGGTAAGTATCAGGGTACCTATCCACAAAGCGTTCGTAACCTGTCGGCGTATGCCATCAACAGACTTGTTCGTAATCCGTGCAAATTGTTTGTGTGTGATATACACCCTTCATAGTTCGCAGGGGCGGTGGGCTAGCCTAGTGGTTAAAGAGTTTGCTCGTCATGCCGAAGACCCCCAGATGGGTACAATCTGTTAAACCGATTTCAGGTGTCCCCCGTCGTGATATTGCTGGGATATTGCTAAAAGCGGCGTAAAACTAAAATCACTCACTCAAGGTTTAAGCCAATCAGCGTAATTGTATATAGTAGATACATGTCACTTTCATCATACACAGGGGGTAAGTACTAGACGTTAGAGGGATGTACGCTTAAAACACATTCACATCCAGTTTACGTAGATGTTCATGGTGTCAATCACTAGATTGTCTGGTCGAGATTAATATTTCCAGACCGTCGCAATACAGCTTGTATATTCTTAAGTGCAACATGTCACAACAAACAAAAGAATAATTGAAATCTGTGCTTGTGACATCGAGATATGGATATATCTAATAATAATACTTTCAATCGTCGCATATAGCGTGAAGAATGTAATATGTAATATAATATAAAGAATTGTATCGATAGCACACCCAAACTTTAATGTTCACCAAGACGGACAATAATAAGCAGGGGAAGGTGTTATATTTTTCAAAATCAATAGGTTAGGGTCACAGGTATTATGTAAAAGTTTTGTTCATCATTACTCAAGATCAAGTTGTTAAGATGTGTTCAGCAATACCCAGTGTTACCCACCCCACAAATACTCGAACTCCCTCCCAGCCCAGCCACCCCCACCCACCGCAGGCACGTCCTTGTATTTGTTTCAGATTCCTTGTTTCTAATCAATTGGTCATTTGAAAATCATTCATGGACTCTTTATAGCTTCCGGTTTGCCCGGAAAATAGGACCAGTGTTCAAGGAAGATGAATTATGTTCCAATACTAGAAACATGATGAACCCAGAGCATACATCACCTGACCTTGAACTATCTGTTAGGAAAAACACGCGTTCGCAAACAAGCAAGGTATTCAGACAAGACAGCTGACAAGCCGCTATATTTAACCATCCACACATGACCCGAGTAATAACAAGGTTCTTGTGTTGCTTTTCATATATGGCAAGGAGCGGTGGGGTTTCCAAGTTGTTAAAGCGTTCGCTCGTCACGCGAAAGACCGGTTTCGATTTCCACATGAGTACAATGTGTGAAGCCCATTTCTGGTGTCCCCCACCGTGATATTGCTGGAATATTGCTAAAAGCGGCATGAAACCAAATTTATTCATTCATTTATCTACGTCACACGAAATTATTGAAAGCAGGCCGTTTACTACAGAATAAACTATCAGTGGAGTAACATGAATGTAGGTCGGTCAAATGTTTCACAGGTCGAGAAAAAAGGCCGTGCGCAGTCGCATATTATCTGACAAGCCACTCCTTGTGCTAACTATTAAGCAAAATTCCACGTACATGCACACACAAATGCTCCAATGACGTGCAATGTAATACTGATTACAGAATTAACATTGCATTGCAGAATGCTATGGTGACAAGAAGTATTTAGGATTGGGGGTCTTGAATGTTAAGCTGTCACGTAATGGATACGATTTCAAGTAGATCAGGTGGTCACTACCTTAAGAGGTGAGGTGAGGTGAAATTGGGTTTAACGTCGTGCTTGAGAATATTTCGCTCATATGACGACGTGCATGCATGTGTATGTGTTTGTGCGGCTGCTTGTACTAGCCCAGACTTAAGCTGGTTTTATAGTGCTAGCTCACTGAGATACCACGCCACAGTGAAGCATGAATACCCCACTCAGACACAGTATACTGACTCCGAGCCGACCAGTCCTTGTTGTACCCATTAATGCCGAGCGCCAGGCAGGGACCAACAAGTACAATATTTTAACGTCTTTTGGTATGACGGGCGGACGCTCTAACCACTGCACCACGGAGGTGGTCACACTACCTTAAGAATCTACCAGTAATCTACCCCGTGAAAATCTAGATAAGAAATGTTCTTCACCAACCTATTATTGGCGACTAACGGGCGATCAGACTGACTGCTTCAGTTCATGTCCCAGTTGCGGAAATCGATGCTCATGATATTGACCACTGGTTGGTCTGGTCCAGACTCTATGTTAGAAACCGCTGCCATATAGCTGGAGTACTGCTGAGTGTGGTGTACACACGTACAAAACCATTGATATTGCTCCCCTTGTTGTGGTATTTGTTTCTGACTGAACACTTCTACCTACAGACCTGTATGCCAAGGTGAACAAAAAGAGGAGGCGCAGAAGAGAAGGTACAGCCCGTCTTTCTCTCCGTGTGGTCAGTGAGTCTCATTTGAGGTTAGGGGCGGTGGGGTAGCCTAGTGGTTAAAGCGTCTGCTCGTCACGCCGAAGACCCAGGTTCGAATCTCCACATGGGCACAATGTGTGAAGCCATTTCTGGTGTCCCCGCCGTGATATTGCTGGAATATTGCTAAATTTCTTGAGTGACATTTATAGCTGTTGGATATATCTATCAGTATGTAGATATAATTAATGAAACATGTTAAAACTCATTCTTATCAGATGACGAATATTATTCAGGTGATATGATTTGACTATTTAGAATGAAATTTAAATTTGGGGGAGGCGGGTATACGGGCGGAAGTCTTTCCTTTGTTTCTTTGTCAGCATGAGACCGAAAGTGTTTAAAACCTAAAAGCTGTAATTAGTGTCACATAACGCTGACACAACTCGCACAGTCACTCGCTGTTTTTTCTGTAATTATTTTGCCTCCCGTAGGACACATGACCTAACGTTCAAAGGATCGGGACCATCAGTGTTAGACGCTGTGCCAGGCGATTGATGTTGAAAGCGTAGACTGTGATCACTTCCTGGTCTCGGGTAAACATCCGTCTGCGCACGCATCACCGGAAGGTGACGTCAGCCACCTCAGATTATTGCTTTTCGCACGCCTCGCAAGATGTGTGGTTTGCCAGCTAGACTGTTTTGTATCCTATGAATTTGTGTTTATTGATAATAAACTGTCTTTTGGGTACTTTCCTTTGTTCTTCAGAGAGTGTAGGTATTACCTTTCCGTTTCGTTTTTCGTAGTACTGTTGTAGTGATGGTGTTTGTGATAACACGATAGTTTTCATCACTATTATCGGTCACTTCGCCATTCAGAACATGTGGCTTCGATGTATTCGAAGTGGCTTGTTCTTGACTCATGCTCATACTATCATCGTATATTATTATTAAGCCTTAATTCTGGTCTCCAGTTTATGTCAGTATTTTGTTCTCATTTATGCTGTTCTATCCCGTTACTATTATATTGTTTCACCGTGTGTTTCCCATTACTATTGTAATGTTTTTCACCGTGTGTTTGCTGGGGTTTTCTGCTATGTTGCAGTTTCTATAGGGCACACGCTGTATAGTTTGTAAGGCGGGGTATCTCATAAGTGCCCTCATTCACACTGTGTGAATTGCACTTTTCCGTGTTTCCCCCGTTTTTCACACAAGTAATGTGCTACTTAATTAATATAACACCTTTTTATTGAAGCGCCAGGTCCAACACCGACGTTGCCTGTGACTAGCATGTCCTCTAGCTCTGGCGCTTCTGGCGCTCCGTCTCCTTTCTCCAGGTTGTTGTTTCCAACGTGTCCTTGGCAGACGTCTTACTCCTGACGCCTCAGATGCATGCGCCGCGCGCTCAGCAGTCACTGGATGTTTCGATCTCCCATTTGACATGACCTAGTTAGCAGGGCAGTCTGGTACAACAGCGCATCTGCTGTTCATCACTGCAGCGCCTATACGGCTCTTCTACCACATCGACTACGACCTCGGCGTTCTGCAGTCGGTGTTAGCGCCTCAATCGCAACACCAACCTGTTCCAGCGTCGTTCCTGTCTACAGGGAATGTATGATGCATCTACCTGATCCAGCGCCTGTACGGAGCTTGTAAAGCCATACTTACTCCCTCCAGCGCCTATATGGCGTTTCTACCAGATTCAGCGCTTGTATGGCATTTATAACACCATACTCACTTGCTCACTCCAGCGTCTGTCCGGCGTTTTCTACCAGATCTAGCGCTTGTACGGCGCCTATCATACCATGCTTACTCACTCAAAAGCCTGTCAGGTTTTTATACCAGATACAGCGTTCTGCCAGATCCAGTGCCTGTACGGCGGCTCTACTTGATCTAGCGCCTATAACATCATAGTGAGTGGCCTATAAAATCATACTCACTCACTCCAGCGCCTATACCAGATTGAGTATCTATATGAAGTAACATACTGCGTCAGCGCCTCCACATGGAGGCTAATATGGTACCTATACCGGGCGTGGCGTCTACACACTCCCTTGTCTTGAATTCATCAATAGGGCAGCCCAGGTGGATGAGGAAATTGAGCGCGTGACAGTGTTTTTTCTTACAAGGCACGAGGTGCAAGGGATGACGGCCCTTGAATTGGAATCCCCACGGATGCTCCTTCCTATCTCAACTTAGCTTCGGCTATTAACATTGTCTCTCAGGATCGTCACCTTTCTTTTATATGCATGATGGCTTGGCAGTGGATTGTCCTCACTATCCTTGGCGAACACTTACAGGCAGTTCTCGGCAACGCAGGTGTTATTTGAGATGAATTATGTTCCAATACTAGAAACATGATGAACCCAGAGCATACATCACCTGACCTTGAACTATCTGTTAGGAAAAACACGCGTTCGCAAACAAGCAAGGTATTCAGACAAGACAGCTGACAAGCCGCTATATTTAACCATCCACACATGACCCGAGTAATAACAAGGTTCTTGTGTTGCTTTTCATATATGGCAAGGAGCGGTGGGGTTTCCAAGTTGTTAAAGCGTTCGCTCGTCACGCGAAAGACCGGTTTCGATTTCCACATGAGTACAATGTGTGAAGCCCATTTCTGGTGTCCCCCACCGTGATATTGCTGGAATATTGCTAAAAGCGGCATGAAACCAAATTTATTCATTCATTTATCTACGTCACACGAAATTATTGAAAGCAGGCCGTTTACTACAGAATAAACTATCAGTGGAGTAACATGAATGTAGGTCGGTCAAATGTTTCACAGGTCGAGAAAAAGGCCGTGCGCAGTCGCATATTATCTGACAAGCCACTCCTTGTGCTAACTATTAAGCAAAATTCCACGTACATGCACACACAAATGCTCCAATGACGTGCAATGTAATACTGATTACAGAATTAACATTGCATTGCAGAATGCTATGGTGACAAGAAGTATTTAGGATTGGGGGTCTTGAATGTTAAGCTGTCACGTAATGGATACGATTTCAAGTAGATCAGGTGGTCACTACCTTAAGAGGTGAGGTGAGGTGAAATTGGGTTTAACGTCGTGCTTGAGAATATTTCGCTCATATGACGACGTGCATGCATGTGTATGTGTTTGTGCGGCTGCTTGTACTAGCCCAGACTTAAGCTGGTTTTATAGTGCTAGCTCACTGAGATACCACGCCACAGTGAAGCATGAATACCCCACTCAGACACAGTATACTGACTCCGAGCCGACCAGTCCTTGTTGTACCCATTAATGCCGAGCGCCAGGCAGGGACCAACAAGTACAATATTTTAACGTCTTTTGGTATGACGGGCGGACGCTCTAACCACTGCACCACGGAGGTGGTCACACTACCTTAAGAATCTACCAGTAATCTACCCCGTGAAAATCTAGATAAGAAATGTTCTTCACCAACCTATTATTGGCGACTAACGGGCGATCAGACTGACTGCTTCAGTTCATGTCCCAGTTGCGGAAATCGATGCTCATGATATTGACCACTGGTTGGTCTGGTCCAGACTCTATGTTAGAAACCGCTGCCATATAGCTGGAGTACTGCTGAGTGTGGTGTACACACGTACAAAACCATTGATATTGCTCCCCTTGTTGTGGTATTTGTTTCTGACTGAACACTTCTACCTACAGACCTGTATGCCAAGGTGAACAAAAAGAGGAGGCGCAGAAGAGAAGGTACAGCCCGTCTTTCTCTCCGTGTGGTCAGTGAGTCTCATTTGAGGTTAGGGGCGGTGGGGTAGCCTAGTGGTTAAAGCGTCTGCTCGTCACGCCGAAGACCCAGGTTCGAATCTCCACATGGGCACAATGTGTGAAGCCCATTTCTGGTGTCCCCCGCCGTGATATTGCTGGAATATTGCTAAATTTCTTGAGTGACATTTATAGCTGTTGGATATATCTATCAGTATGTAGATATAATTAATGAAACATGTTAAAACTCATTCTTATCAGATGACGAATATTATTCAGGTGATATGATTTGACTATTTAGAATGAAATTTAAGGGGAGGAGGCGGGTATACGGGCGGAAGTCTTTCCTTTGTTTCTTTGTCAGCATGAGACCGAAAGTGTTTAAAACCTAAAAGCTGTAATTAGTGTCACATAACGCTGACACAACTCGCACAGTCACTCGCTGTTTTTTCTGTAATTATTTTGCCTCCCGTAGGACACATGACCTAACGTTCAAAGGATCGGGACCATCAGTGTTAGACGCTGTGCCAGGCGATTGATGTTGAAAGCGTAGACTGTGATCACTTCCTGGTCTCGGGTAAACATCCGTCTGCGCACGCATCACCGGAAGGTGACGTCAGCCACCTCAGATTATTGCTTTTCGCACGCCTCGCAAGATGTGTGGTTTGCCAGCTAGACTGTTTTGTATCCTATGAATTTGTGTTTATTGATAATAAACTGTCTTTTGGGTACTTTCCTTTGTTCTTCAGAGAGTGTAGGTATTACCTTCCGTTTCGTTTTTCGTAGTACTGTTGTAGTGATGGTGTTTGTGATAACACGATAGTTTTCATCACTATTATCGGTCACTTCGCCATTCAGAACATGTGGCTTCGATGTATTCGAAGTGGCTTGTTCTTGACTCATGCTCATACTATCATCGTATATTATTATTAAGCCTTAATTCTGGTCTCCAGTTTATGTCAGTATTTTGTTCTCATTTATGCTGTTCTATCCCGTTACTATTATATTGTTTCACCGTGTGTTTCCCATTACTATTGTAATGTTTTTCACCGTGTGTTTGCTGGGGTTTTCTGCTATGTTGCAGTTTCTATAGGGCACACGCTGTATAGTTTTTGTAAGGCGGGGTATCTCATAAGTGCCCTCATTCACACTGTGTGAATTGCACTTTTCCGTGTTTCCCCGTTTTCACACAAGTAATGTGCTACTTAATTAATATAACACCTTTTTATTGAAGCGCCAGGTCCAACACCGACGTTGCCTGTGACTAGCATGTCCTCTAGCTCTGGCGCT